GGTTGCCACTGAAGCTGCCCGCCAAGCCCCAGCTTCTGCATGGACTCACCACTCTTCTGAGAATCCTCAACAGAAGTTTCTGCTCCTTCGGGTCCTCTTTGGATGTCAGTAAATCAGCAAAGTTCTCTGCATTTTCAGGAGACAGGGTGTCTGGGTTTTCCCCTCCATACAGTTGAACCAGTATTGACAGACACTTAGATGAAACTTCAAAAACTTCAGGATCCTCGTTAGGAAGCTGGAAATTAACAAACAGGACTCCTTAACGGAAGACGATGCTGTTATTTCTCAAGAACTACAGTAAAACCTGGCTTAATGGGGAGCATGTCATTTTGAGTACAAAGTTTAATTAGCTGAATATTTTTTGGAATGGATCTTTTTCAAAATGAATATAGTTAACTCACACAAGGCTAATAGTACAAAGTCGGAATTAAGTCCCACAGGCTTTTTTTTAACCCAGTGATGAATGACTATGCCAAGTAAAGGATCAATGTATATTTTATACATAAATTTAATATACACATATATTCATACAGAGGTGTGTGTGTCTCTGGGTACAGAAACAGTTTGATTTCTCCGAGGCACAACTCTTACATTCTTGTTTACTACTGGCTTGTTTAGGAAAATCCACTTCCCAGGAGATATTAAGGAGCGATTTGAACTGGTCTGTATCCAGTCATCAATGACTTAACAGGTGGGAGAGAAAGCACTGTTTCTATACAGATGAAAAGGTCTATTATGAAATAACAATTGTACCATAAGCACTTTAACCTTTTAATTTTTTTAAGTTTTATTTTATTTCTAACAGTTTTATCGAGATATAATTCCTATGCCATACAATTCAGTCATTTAACATGTACCTGTCATTCAATGGATTTTAGTATATTCAGGTTTGTGCAACCACCACCACAATCAGTTTTAGAATTTTTTCATTACCGGAAAAAAACCTAGTATACTTTAACAGTGACCTTGACATCATCTCCTCCTTCCCACCCCCAGCCCTGCCCAGTGCTAACCTGCTTTCTGCCTCTCTGGATTTGCCTACTGTGCACATATAAAATACGATCCTTTGTCACTAGCTCTTTTCATATAGCATGTTTTCAAGATTCATTCATGCTCTAGCATGGGTCAGTATTTCATTTCTTTTATTACCTATAGCATTTCATTGTATAGATATGCCATATTACGTTTATCTGTTTATCACTCAGTGAACATCTGAGTTGCCTTCACTTTTTGGATAGTGTGAACGACACTGCTATGAACATTTGTGTGTAAGTTTTCGTGCAGACATGTTTTTGCTTCTCTTGGGTATATACTCAGAAGTGGAGTTGCTCAGTCATATGATAACTTCATGTTTAACTTTTTGAGGAAGTGCCAGACTGCTTTCCAAAGCTGCCATTAGCATCAGCAATGTATGAGGGTTCTAGCTTCTGACACCCTCACCAATACTTCTTATTATCTGTCTTTTCAATTACAGCCATCCTAGTGGGTGTGGTTTTTCATCTGTATTTCCCTGATGGCTAATGTTGAAAATCTTCTCATATGCTTATTTTGATCACTTGTATATGTTCTTTGGAGAAACGTTTGTTCTAATCCTTTGCCCATTTTTAAAATGGGTCACCTTTTTATAATTGAGTCTAAGTGTTCATTATATATTTTAAATACAATTCCTTTAGCAGACATATGATTTTCAGAAATGTTTTCCTGTTCTGCAAGTAGTGTTTTCAATTTCTTGATACTGTCTTTTGAAGCACAAAATATTTTGTATTTTCATGAAGTCCATTGATCTGTTTACCTTATTGCTTGTGATTTCGGTGTCATACCTAAGAAACAAATGTCTCTTTCAAGGTCCTGAGATCATGCTTCTTCTAAGAATTATTATAGTTTTAGCTCTTACATCTACTTTTTCTTTTAAGAACATTATAGTTGTAACTTTTACATTTAGGTCTTGATCCATTTTGCATTAATTTTTGTATATCATGTGAGAAGCTGTCCAACTTCATTCTTTTGCATGTGAATACATCTTATTTTGATACATTTACAGGTTCTTATGTAGTTGTAGGAAACAATACAGAGAGATCCCATGCAAACTTCACCCAACCTCCCCAATGGAAACATCCTGCATGACTACAGTACAGTATCACAACCAGGAAATTAACATTGATATAATCCACTGATCTTACTCAGATTTTATTGCTTTTACATGTATTTATGTGTGTGCAAATGTACATACATGTGTATTTAGTTCTATGCAATTCTATCACATGAGTAGATTTAGTGACACCCACCACTTCAAGATACAGAACAGTCCATCATAAAGATTCCTTTGATAGCAAAAGCCAACCCTCTCCTTCCTCCATCCATTATCCCTGGCAGCCTCTAACCTGTTCACCATTATCTCATTTCAAGTAAGTTACATAAAAAGAAGTACACAGTATGTATGTCTTTCTTCATAATTTATTTGAGACCCACCTAAGTTTTTGTGATTACCAATAGTTCACTTTTTATTACTGAGCGGTATCCTATGATATAGATGTGACAAAGTTTAGTCGTTTGTTAAAGAAAATTCGAGTTGTTTCCAATTTGAAGCTATTGCAAGTAAACCTACTAGGAGAACACTTATATAAGCTTTTGTGCGAACACAAGCTTTCAATTCCCTGAGATAAATGTCCGAGAGTGCATTACTGGTTTGTATGGGAAACTCGTATTTAGTTTTTTAAGAAACCAGCAAGCTGTTTTTCAGAATGGCTCTGCCACTTTACTATTTTACATTTCTAGCAGTTATGAATGAGAGATTCACTTTGCCTGCATCTTCACCAGCATATGGTGTTATTACTATTTTCCGTTTTGGCCACTCTGATAGGCAGGTGGTGACAGCTCACTGTGGTTTTCATTTGCATTTCCATAATGGCAACTGACAGTGAATATCTTTTCATCTGTTCATGTCTTTTGCCCTTTGGTACTTGGATTGTTTCTTTATTGTTGGTATTTAAAAGTTCTTTATACATTCTGGATATAACTTCTTTCTCAGATACGTGCTTTGCAAATGTTTTCTCCCTTTCCGTGGCTTGTCTTTTCATCCCCTTCCCTGAGTCTTTTATAGAGAGAAGAATTTAATTTTGATTAAGTCCCACTTACTTAATTTTATTTCTTAGGGATTATGCTTTTGGTGTCAAGTCTAAAAACTCCGCCTCACCCTTAATCCTGAAGATTTTCTCCTATCTTTTTCCTAAAAGTTTTAAGCTTTATAGTAAAATAATTTAAATTAGGTGGTTAATTTTTATATAAGGTATGAGGTTTAAGTAGCGGTTCCTTTATTTATTATTTATTTATTTAGCCACTAAATGTATAATTGTTCCAGCATCATTCTCAAAAATTTGTTCCTCAATTGAATTGCTTTTACACCTTTTTCAAAAAAATCAGCTGGGCATGTTTGTGTAGTCCTATTTCTGAGTTCTTTATTCTGTTCCATTGATCTAGGTGTCTATCCCTCCATCAATAACACACTGCTTTATTACTGTAGCTATGTAATAAGCCTTACACCAGGTAGAGTGTTTCCTCCCACTTTATTTTTCTTTTTCAAATTATTTTAGCCATTCCAAGATCTATTCCTCTATAAAAATTCTAAAATAAGCCTGCCTGTTTACAAAAAAAAAAACGAAAACAAAACCTTATTGGAATTTTAACAGGAATTGCCTTAAAACTGTCTATCAAATTGGGAAGAATTGACATTTTTACTCTATGGAGTCTTCTAAATCCATGAATGCCATGTCTCTCCACTTACATACCTCTTCTTTGACTTCTTTCATCAGCATTTTATAACATTTAGAATACAGATCTTGTACATATTTTGTTATATTTATATCTCTAAGTACTTATTTTTCTTTGGAGCAATTATAAATGGTGCTTTTAACTTCTGTTTCCACATGTCCAATGTTAGTACATAGTAATGCAATTGATTTTTTTGTCAGTCTTGTACCCTGTAACCTTGCTTACTAATTCTGAGAGTGTTTTGAGGATTCCTTTGAATTTTCTCCACAGACAATTGGCTCTGATATTAAGATAGCCACTCCTGCTTTTAAAAAAGTAATATTTGCATGGTATATACTTTTCAACCTTTTACTTTCAATCTGCTTATATAATTATATTTAAAATAGGCTTTTTGTAGACAATATACTGTTGGATCCTGTTTTTTATTCATTCTAGCCATCTCTGTCTTTTAACTGGTGCATTTAGATCATTTACATTTAAGGTAAATATTAAGATGCTAGAGTTTAAGTCTAACGTGCAATTTTATTATTTGTCAGAATTCTGTTTATTTCCTCTGTTTCTTATTTTTCTGATTCTCTTTTTTTTAACCTCCCATGGGTTACCTGAATATTTATGTTTTCAGTACAAATTATTAAATTACCTTTAATTCCCAATGTTAGTTTTTTAGGGCTGCCATGACAAAGTATCACAAACTGGGTGACATAAACAACATAAATTTACTGTCTCACAGTTCTACCAGCTAAAGTCCAAAATCAAAGAGCAGGGCCCTCCTCCTTCTGAAATCCATAATGGAATCTCCTCTTGCTTCTTCCTAGCTTCTGGTGACTTGCTAGAAATCACTGGCATTCCTTTGCAGCTGTATAATCCCAGTGCCTACTTCCATCATTGCACGGCATTCACCCTGTGTCTCACTGACTTCACATGGTTGTCTTCTTATAAAGACACCAGTCATGCTGGATCAGGAGACCACTCTCTTTGCGTATGACCTCATCTTAACTAATCACATCTGGACAGCCACTATTTCCAAATAAGGTTAACATTCTGCGGTCCTGGGAGTTAGGACTTCAACACATCATTTTTGTTGGGGGGACACAATTCAACCCATAACACTTCCTATCAACTTTGTCTCTTCTGTGCCCAGCTGTTTATTCACCTTGGCTTCTCTGCTTCTTGCTCTTATGCTTCTCTGAATGTCTGACAGTTTTTGGCTTCCTATTTTATGAACAAAAGATTAGGCAGATTATTAAAGGCAGCTGGCTTCCATTTCCTTTGCATTTGTGTATGTCTGTGTCTTCTTCAAGTTCCTTCCCCTGTCCACGTTCTGTGATTTCCTCAAACTCTGCAATGCTTCCTTCCAGACCATAACTCCATTCTAGAAATCACATCAGATAGATAGTTTATCCTCTCTACAGTGGAGGTCCTGACTTATTACACCAGAATAAAGCAGAGCAAAATGACTAAGGGAAG